TACTGATTTAAAATTTTTTGATACATTAAAGGAAGGATTGACGGGTACAGAGAGAAATGGAGGTAAAGAAGAAAATTACTCAGGAATTGCCACAGTAATTCATTATCAAAAAAATAGGCGTACCCATACCACAGGACTGAAATATGCTACTTGCACATTGTGATGCTGGTCTGCAGTAACTTAGTCCGTGGGTTTCTGCTCATTAGCTGTCTTTAAGGTTGCTTGCTCATTCTCTCTAAGTAAGGCTCTTCAAACCTCTTTTCACTTTTTATATAGCATCACTACATAGTAGGTTCTTAAATGCAGCTCACTAGTGTTGTGTCTAAGACCATTCTCGAGACAGGTTCATTCTAGTCTGGTATCTTCTGTCTTCCTGATATTGCTCCTACCTCATAAATTACACCATTATGATTTTCATCAATCTCACTATACCTAGGACATCCCATTCCAATTTTCTGAACTAAATTTTCATCTGGTTGTTAGAGCCTTCTGGGAGACATTTTGGATATCATCCCTTGGATTAGAAATTGGTTTTATAAACCACTGTAAAGCAGATTTTCCTGATTCTTGAAGCAAACATATTCCAAGACAGGAAAGTAATAAACAGAATAGGAATTTCCCAATATCTTAATAGATCAGAGAGGTTAAACTAAGAGGAATACAAGGTATTTATATTTTCAATGGGACTTGTATTTTAAAAAAAACTATTAAAAAATATTGTTAAATTTTAGGACTATGTACCTATCATGTAGATGCAAATTAAAGGCCATGACAAAAACAAAGATCTGCAGATGCTGGAAATCTGAAAGTACTCAGTGAGACAGAAGCTCGGAATAAAATGAGTTATTTTTTCATTTTGTCATTACAGAGCATCAAGCAGACTTAAGGAAGGGCTGCGTGCGTAATTGTAATAATGCTGTTTTGACACAGTATGGAGGTCTATTGAGTGGCCCTTTCACTTATCTCCGATTTATACCATGAAGCATAATGAAACTCCTATAATATCTTTTATTTGTTAAAACAGCAAACTGACTCAGGTGATGGAACCAGAACCCAACTTTCATATGAAATCACAATTTGTTCTTTCAGTAGATGGAAATCAGTGTGCTACACACAGAAATTATATGATGTTAAATACACCTGAAGGATTTTAACTAACATACATTGTAATGGGAATATCTTGAAGCCACAAAGTTTAACTAGAACAATAACAGTCAAGCTTTTGTCTTTGAACATACTTTGATTTGATTTATTATTGTCACGTGCACCTAAATACAGTGAAGAGTTTTGTTTTGTGTGCAGTTCTGGCAGATCATATGACACAAAACGCATAAAGGATATTAGAACAGAGCAAAGAATACGATGATACAGCTGCAGAGAAGGTGCATAAAGAACAAGATCAATATTAAATTTAAAATTTGACAGCTCCATTCAGATGTCTAATAATAGCGGGGAAGAAGCTGTTCTTGAATCTGTTGCTATGTGTACTTAAGCTTTTGTACCTTCTGCCTGACAGAAGAGGGTCGAAGAGATTATAACTGGGGTGAGAGGGATCTTTAATTATGTTGACTGCCTTCCCAAGGCAGCGAGAAGTATAGATAGAGTCAGTAGATGGAAGGTTGGCTTGCGTGATGGATTGGGCTGTGTTCACGATTCTCTGTAGTTTCTTATGGCCCTGGGCACAGCAGTTGCCATACCAAGCCATGATGTATTTGGATAGAATGCTTTCTATGGTGCATCTATAAAAACTGGCAAAAGTCTTTACTGACATGCTGAATTTTGTTAGCCTCCTGAGGAAGTAAAGGTGTCAGTGTGCTTTCTTGACCGTTGCATCAATGTGGGTGGAGTGCCAGGTATTAAAAGCATTCATTTGCATGTACTTAAAGCTGCTAAAAATAGCAGATATTGCTGTTGTTATTTGAAACTTATTGATCCAATTAGCATTAATAGCAGAACAGCCATTTCAAACCAACAAAACACAAACAGAAAGTAATTAAGAAATATTAATATAAACAAGATTGAATTACCTAATTCTGAGGAAGGGTCACTGGACCCGAAACGTTAACTCTGCTTTTTCCTTCACAGATGCTGCCAGACCTGCTGAGCTTTTCCAGCAACTTTGTTTTTGTTCGTGTTATTGAATTACCTAGGATCTGAATCAAATTATAAGGGCTGTGACTGAATCACTGGTGACAAGCTTATTCAGAATGCTGTTTCTGTCCCCGAGTGGCTCAAGTTACTGAAGATGGTGTTGCTAATCGTCATCTAGTGTACAGGGTCCCAAGTTCAAGTTGTAACCAGTGTTGAGCTAATTTATTGAAGGCAAGGTGAAAAATTCTACAATTTTCCTGTTGTCTAGCTTTGAGGATAAAGAATACATATACTTGCTGCTCTGAAGAACTTGCTACAATCCTTCCTGAAACCCTACAGACTAGAAATCGAACAGCCTTTGATTTTTAGCAAGGGACAGGGTGACAATTTGTGACCTACTAGCCATGAAGATCAAGAACGGTAATGTGAAAGCTTGGTGTGTGCTCGCCCTCTCCATCCCCTGTCACTGCTGGCTATGGCTCTGAAAGAGTTAATACTTGATAGAGTGTAATAAGCAAGACCCATTACAATGACGGCATAAGGACTTGATGGGGAGACTGACAGAAGACGAGGTCCTGTCAATATGCTTTGTATCATCAATGACATAGATTCAATTAATTATATTTTGTTTACTCTGCATGTTCTTCGTTAGACAGGAAAATGTCTACCCTCACACATTCTAATCCACACAAACCCCTAGACAACCCACACATATAACAAACACAGACAGAAGTGCTCGTAACATCTTTCCGCCATTTACGTAATCACAGCAAAGGGTCAAAAGGGTCCCAGGCACGGACTGCGCCTGTAGTCTCTGAACTCAGCAGGAGGGTCCAGTAGCATTGTTTTGTAGAGAATACAGTACAAATTGCCTACTCAGCTTCAAGGCTGGCTGTATCTTAACGGGAAGTCACACAAAAATATTGTTGCAATTTAAATTAACACAAAACGAACACCAGGAAGAAAGAGGATTCCATAGTGGTAGTAATTTTTGTGTCGGAGGTTGGCAGGAGGAGAAGTGACCTGGTTCTGTGAAGAGGCCAAAAGATCAGCTCACAGACTCACTTCAGAGACATCAGTGCATGAAGACGCCTTTAGACATGGTAACCTGTGCAAAAGAAGTTCAATTGCCTTCACGTGGGTGGATAACATCAGTGAATGTATCTTCACAAGACATCTGCTCACTTCTATATCACTAATTCTCATGCTGTTCAATGCATTAAGCCCCAGTCATTCTCATAAAAGCACTCCCTGGAACTGAGGACTCTTTCCTTAATCCAGTCACATAAACGATCAAAGCAGCAAGCCTGACACCCACCTCTCATTCAGTTGCAGAAGGCACAAAACCCAATTACAGTGCAATACACTCACTGACCTTCTTCCCTTTCTCTTGCAGGAAAATAGGGGAAAACAGAGCTGAACTGGTGGAAGACAAGGCATCTACATTTCTAAAGTCTATGAAGGAGTTGTTGTCCACATCATGGGGAAACATATTTTACAAAGCTAATGTTTAGGATCTGGAGTACAGTACCTGAGATTAGATAATTTCTGAAGCAAAAAGAATGGCAAATCCAAGGGAAAAAGCCAGGATATTTGACCACTTGAGCAGCTCTTACTAGAAGCTAGTACAGACGGGCTGTAATCATTGCATGATTATGTCATGATGCTGACTGTGACAGAACCTGTAGCATCTGACATTGCTGTGAACATTAACAATGATGGCAGGATCCTCTCGTGTCCCATGTGAACTTGTGGCCAACTTTATCCTGCTATCTGACATAATCAGCAAGTGGCTGATGGCAAATCCATGGACCTCTTGCTTCACAACCAACCTCCCTCCAATAAGTGGTGATCTTCTCCTTCTGAGTGCCAGATTTCAGACACCCAAGAACTGCCAACCACCCAACATAGCAGCCCAAGGAAAGAGAGCGTGAGCAAGAGTGCGCGACAGACAGTAAGCAAGACAGACAGACAGTAATGAAGAGGCTCTGTACTTGATTTGACACACAGACATTGTTACTGAAGATACATTGGAGGCTAATGTAGAGTTGGAGTCAGCGTGTGATGAACAATCCAAGCACAAGTGGGCTTGGACCAGGCCAGGGGAGAGAACGGTTGATGCTCCTGGTCACTGCATAGCAAGGTCCCATTTGAGTTCAGCTACACAAGATTCAGATGAAGGACTGATGGGCGTACAACCGAGATGCTGCAGGCATTGGTTTACCAGCTAGATGGCATTTTGTCACAGTTAAGGGGCATGGAGGATCTGACTCCAACTTGTCAGAAGGCATGGCTCAAAGCTAGTCTTCTTCATAACTTCTGCTCCATCTCCCAAAGAAGCAAAGTCACTGTCAGTGTTACCTGCTTCCATCATTTCCGTTGCACACCTTTGTGTGGATAGGTCAACTATTCCCCTGCCCCCTCCCACCACACCACCCAATCCCATAGAGAGCCAACAATACTCTCTGATGGTTTGAGGGGGCCAGAGTCAATAGAGGAGAAAACTATCCAAAAACGGTTCTTTTACTTTCAGAACCTGGATTTGAATCCACCTGACAGAATGAAGTGATCTTGATCAATTTTAATCACTTTCAACTGAACAGCAGCCAACAGCGTAAAATAACAAGTTCTCATTCAGATGTGGAAAATGTACAAAAAAATTAATCAAACAGGGATGATGCTTTGGAGTTAACATTATTTCAGTTAGCTGAGTGAGGTAAAGTACAGGAAGTTTCCCACAGTATGTTTGGCAAGACTTGAGCTGAAAACCCTGATGTTGACTTTGACAGACAATAGTAAAAATATTCAACTCTCCAGTAATGAGATTTGAAGAACATAAATTCCAAAATGTGAATTTTAAAGCATTTTACATGGGTTCTAAGAATTGAGAAAACATAGAAAAATTATACCTATCCGAGGCTCCACAGTTCTGTTGGCAAGTTCATCAACGAACACAAACCGCCCACCACCAAAGTCAGTCCTGTAGTCAGAAAGGTACAGCAGTGAAGTGTAGTCAAATGATCCATATGTCACCTGGGAAAAACACCAGAACATCTAGTCAAATCTCAGTCCTGTTTGAATTCCGGAGAAGAATGCATCATTTAACATTATCTGGTGTAATGAGTTGAACGTGTTTTCAGCTCATTTGTCAAACTGTCAACAAACTGTGTACAACAGCATAATTGGTCATCCCCTGCAATGTGATAGTCATAAAAAGAGCATACAATTTTTAAAAAACTGTTTGCAGTAAAATAACTTTTTGAAGAATTGCCCAGGTATAGATTGACCAGTCATTCACCTTTTCATTGCTTTTTGTAGGATTTTACTGAGTGAAATGTGCCCTTCTGTATTGGTCCACTTTACAAGAGTTACTGTGGAGCATTTGAGCACTTAAGTCTTCCAAGTTTCTTGGACAGGCAATTTAATGCGATATAAATGCATGTTGTTCTTTGTACATTATCGGCATTAGCTGAACCTAAAAAGGTGTGGCAGTTGTAGAACCAGCATGGTCAGGTAACCAGAATTTCAGTTTTTGAGTGTAAAAAAATTGTGCAATATAGCAAAACGATACTTCAATATTCCTCTATCATTTATATATTAGATATTGCACAATAAAAATAAAATCAGCCTGGAAAGGATGATTGTAATATTATGGACTGAATGATTGTTGCAGTGTTATGGACCAGACCAAACACCCACAAAATATGTTAAGAAGATAGCCTAGACCCTAACTTTTTCTTATTTTACAGGAAAGTGCCAGGTATTGTGTTCCAGATGCAATTTGATTGGTCAAACTACCAGTCTCGAAGCAAAACATACCTTTTTTGTATATTATAGGTAAGATACAACAAAAATAAATAAATTGGAATAACTTAATTCTATTGGAAAACTTAACAGAATAATAGATTATTTAACTACTAAACAGTAACTGTTCCAATATAGTAACATCCCATAGACGCACCCTTGTCAAAGGCAAATTCAGTAAAACAGATTGTCTCACATGCAATTCTCCAGTCCAGAAGGAAAAACATCAAGAGAAAACTCAGAGACAGAGTAGCAGGGAGAGATGTATTGCAGCTTCCAAACCCAGCCTTAAGACCACAGTAACTGCTACTGAAAAACTAAAAAACTAAAAATCCTATTTTTCTGTGGGAGTTTGATCTCACCCCATTCAGGCTGCTTCTATTCTTCTGAATTAAGAAAAACTCAAGGCCTCACAAGCGGTTTACTTTATAGGTTTTGAAGCAGACTGCTCAACGCCTCTGTCTCAACCTTTCTTCATTAAAAAAACCCGGGCAAAATATACCTCTTAAAGCCATAGTATTCACACAATTCTTTTTCACAGAATCCCTACAGTGTGGAAACAGGCCATTCAGTCCGACAAGTCCACACCACCTCTCCGAAGAGCATTCCACCCAGACCCAGACCCCCACCCCTGCATTTCCCATGTCTAACCCACCTAACCTAAACATCCCTGGGCACTATGGCCAATTTAGCACGGCCAATCCACCTACCCGGCACACCTTTGGACTGTAGGAGGAAACCAGAGCACCCGGAGGAAACCCACACAGCCACAGGGAGAATGTGCAAACTCCACACAGACAGTCACCTGAGGGTGGAATCGAACCCAGGTCCCTGGCGCTGTGAGACAGCAGTGCTGACCACTGTGCCACCGTACCACATTTGTCACATTGCAGTCACATATTGTCACATGCAGTCTTGTCAAATTCCTCTGTCTGCTTTTCTGGCAGAGACATTAAATCATTAATTTAGAGCCTTCTTTCCTTTTACTTTTTTATGAAGATAATAGATGATTTCTTACAACTGAGGTCATGACAGCACACAGATAACACAAGAGATAAATACACCACTAAAATCAGTGATTTTTTACATAACACAGCAGCTGTGGAACTGCAGAAACTAGCAGTACAGAAAGGAACCTAAATGATCATCCATAAAAGTGAAGAGCACTGTCAACAGTGCTAACAGCTACCACCTCTCAATAATAACCTGCTCAATTAGGATGTCTTTGAGGCCTGCTAGGACCATCCAGCTCCAGAACTCAATACATTTGTTCAAATATGGACAAAAGACCTCATTTCCAGAGGCGAGGTGAGAGTCATAGCCCTTGACATCAAGGAAGTGTTCACTTGGATGTGGTATGAAGGATCCCAACAAAACTGAAGTCAATGGGAATCAGGGAAGGTTTTCCACCTACTAGATTCATACCTGGGACAAGACACTGCTGCAGGATTTACTCATGGTAGTGTCCACGGCCTAACCATCTTCAGTTGCTTCATCAATGATCTCTCCCCCATCATAAAGTCAGAAACAGGGATGTTCGCTGATGATTACATTATGCTCAGCACCATTTGCAATTCTCTAGATACTGGAACAGTCCTTGTCCAAATGCAATGATACCCGAATGATATTCGGACATGTTTTGATGAGTGACAAGTAACATTTGAACTACACAACTGGCAGGCAATGACTATCTCCAGCAAGAGAGAGACTAACCACCTGTCCTTGATATACAACAGGATTACCTTCACTAAATCCCCTATCAACATCCTGGAATTACCATTGACCAGAAACTGAACCGGACCAACCAAATAAATACTGTGGCTACAAGAACAGGCCTGAAGCTGGGAATTCTACAACACATACTGAAACACAAAAAATCTGTTCCCCATCCATAACGCACAAGTTAGGAGAGAGATGGGACGCTTGTATGAATCAGTGCAAGTCCCAACAACATCAAAGGAAAAAACAGACTGCTTGATCATCAAACCGTTCACCATGTGAAACTTTCACTTCTGCCACACTAGTATCATGAGTTCCAGTTTCTACAAGATCCAAACAGCAACTTGCCAAGTCTTCTTCAAGATCACCTTACAAGCCCATGAATTTCCACTCTGAGAAGAATGAGGGCAGCTGTTGTATGTGAACAGCTGCAATTTCTTCTCCAAGTCATACACCATCCTGACTTTTAACTATATTGCTGTTATTCTTTCATAACCTCGGAGTCAAATACTTGAACTCTAATAGTTCTGTGGGTGCACCTATACCACATGGACTGCAATGGTTCAAGGGCAATCAGACATGGACAATAAATGCAGGTTTAAACCATAACACTCTCATCCCATAAACAAATCTTGCTAAAAAACAAGCTAAAGTTTGTACAATAAAACTTCTCCCTTGATCACTTAGTTTTCAACCCAAATTTGACTTGTCTTTAAGGTTCATGTTCAGAACCAATACATCACTTGCACTTTCGCCTAGGCAGAAGGTACATTTCTTTGACTTCGAAGCATCAGATGCTTCTGAAATTGGACCACAAATATTCCTCTCTTAAATATGGGAATTGTATCAAGAATTCACTTCCATTTGTCTTTAGAATCACTCGAGCAGGGGATTTATCTGCTTTGTAGAAATGAGAAACGGAAGAAGATAAGCATGATAACTGTTAGAAACAAGAATGGACCCATGGCAGAAGCAAATGGATTTCATGCTGGGAAGTCTGCTGTGTGCAAAAAGCAGAAATATTTACATAGAGATAACAATCTGTCAGAGTTTTTGGCAAATGTGCAAAAATTTCAAATTTTCAATCATGAAGAAACATACTAGGATGCAATGGAGTAAACTAAACAAATAAACCATGCTTGAAAAGTTTTGTCTTGAAGTAGCAATAAGGTTCTACTCACTGCTTCCTGAATCAGAGAGATTGGAAGAAGACAGCTGAGAGGAAGAGGCATTTAATAAAAACAGCTGGTGTCCAAGGAGATGTGTCATTAGTGACCCATTTCAATACATTCAACGCAGCAGTGCAATCCCAAAAGCTAAAATTCTTGCATTGGTGAAGGAATCAGACTAAACACTCAGCATAAAAATACACATCCTTAAAAGAAAAGGAAGCCTTATGCTTTCATCATGTCTCATCACACCTCTCGAAAACATCTAAAAACACTTCAAAGTAATTAATTTGTAATGTAGTGACTTCATCTAAGGAAACAGAGTGTGCCACAAAAGAGCAATGAGATAAATAACCACTTAATCCGTTTTGAGAAAGTGATACTCCAAGGCATTTGCAACTTCTCCTTATATCAAAAAAACATTAAATTTTTAGTTCATTTCAAGTATGATTTGAAAGAACTCCCACAATTTGCAAGTTTTGAAAAACAAACTTGATACCAGCGCCAATTTTCTGATTTACCTTGAATTTTCTCCTATTATTGTCAACCTGGGTGTGGTTCTACAGGATTGATCATAACTGTTAAGTAACTTCTCAATTTAAAATAACTCTCCATGTTTCGGAGGTTCACTGTTCTCATTCCTGTGCAACCACTTTAGGCTAAGTGTAGGAATAACATTTCATGCAGCTTTGTGAAAAAGGACTGAACGAACGCTGCAGTTTTGCTTTTAAACAAAAAAAAGCCTTATCTAGCATAAGATAACATAGTTTAGCATCCAATACCAGTATTTTAGCCAATTTTAGCACCTTTTTCCTGTAAGCTTTTGACTTACAACATTACACCATATCTACAAATATCAAAGTATGAACTTCGAGAGTGGATGGCATCTGGATGTTCTGTCACAGTGACTTCTTCGTCGGTGTCCACCTATTCTCTTTCCCTCTCTCTCGCACTGTCACAACTGTACGGTTCTAATTTTACAGACTTAGGAAAAAAAACAAATGGGATAGCATTTTTGCTTTAAAATGCATAATGTACTTTCAAAGTAGGAGTCACAGCAGACAACCATTTGTTACATTGGACTGGTCTAAAGCCGACAAAATTGTGTTATCTTGGCATCAACCACAATGAGACATTTAGAACTTGATTAATCGTGAAAAATACACAGTAGGTCCTTCTCAAGGTGTGAGAATTCAAAGTTCCTGTGAGAATACAGCAGAGAAAAAGACAGTAACATAATTAACTCTTTTGACCAGTCGAACAATGGCTCATGGAGATTAACATAGCAGCTATTTTCCTTTGCTTGTAATAAAGACAGGGTTTGAAAGCCATTTTGTGCAA